ATCACGTATTACAAGACTCATTCGAGAGTGACATATGCGACTTCTACTTAATGATGACACTGTATTTCAAGTAATTACAATCCCAAATTTAATTATTTAACAAGTTGAACAAATCACGGCTAAAATCATGGAAAAAGTGAATTAACCCAAGAGTTTGAATCTCGAGAAAATAGGACATGAAAGGAAAATGAATCCAACACTTCCCTATAACACAAAATAAATACTGCTTAGTTTATATCGCTTTGATCCGTTTTATTTTACTTGGTCCTTATATGAAAAAAGATTATGTATTTTATTTTACCAAAATTTATTTTAGTAAATTAACAAAGTTTAATTACTTTTTTTTTCTTATTATTCTTAGTGTTAAAATAACTACAATAGTATTAGTAAAATCTAAAGTTCTAAAATATCTTTACTAAAATTAATTTTGTAAAATATATTTTAATTATTTTTTTTCTTGAAAAGATTAATAGTTCTCAATAATATTAAATGGAAAGAGTAGTATATAACTTTTTGTATTTACGAAATTAGAATATTTGATGAACCCTTAGCTTCAAAGATCATAATCATCCTGAGTGTGCAAGTACACTCTATACCACTTTTTTGTATATGTAAATTCTAATCAACATTTTTATAATATTCTTTTATCATATAAATATGATGAAAACTTATAAAGCTTTTTATATAGTTTTTAAATTTTAAATTTTTATAAGATTAGTAAATAGTATACACTCTAAATAAGTAATATTTTAGTTAAAAATAAGTAATTATTTATCATTTTATCATAACATACTAAAAAGTTAAATTGAAATTCACAGCAAAATGACCAAAAAAGTAGTTTCAAAATTGCTAAAGGGGACCCAATGCGCCGCTACTTTTCACATGCACATCAGCACATGAGCTGTCTTTTGTTTTTTCTCCACAAATTTACAATTTTTCTCCTATTTGAAATTTATAATAATAATAATAATAATATATTATTTTTATTTTTTCTTTGACCAATTGGATTTTTATTCTGTTTCTTTCTTAAAAGTCACGAGTGATTGTTGTTTCGATTCAAACTTAAAAATTATAATAATGTGTGTTGTAGTAGCACGGTTGATAATTTTCTATCTTTAATTATATATCTTAAATTAATTATATGTGTCGAATTTAAATTTTTGAAATCATCTTTTTTTGTTGAAAATATTATCTTTAAAATTTTATACGAATATTAAATATTATATACGAAACAAAACAAAAGACAAGGATTATACTTTTTTTAATAATTTTTAAAAGAAAAGGTTTTTGGTAATTCTGTTCTTTCCTTGATAAGCATTTTCAGACTTCATGCGATATCTTTAAATTTAAAAATTTTAATAACTTAGTTGGTTAATTTTTTTAATTATAAACTCTCATTTTATTAATGAGGTTTTAATTCTCCACTCTTCGTTTCTCCTCCCCTTACCCTTAATTTGAAATAATGGTAATAATAATAACAGTAAGATTAATATTTCTTTTTAATTTTGCAGTACTTCAAAAGATTAAATTGGGAAGAAAAGAAAATGGATAATAATAATAATAATAATAATAATAAATTAAATAAAATAAACAATATATTAATGACGTACATAAATTGTCATGCTAAAGTCACAAACATGAATGCATGTGTACATGAGCAGCTCAACACAGTTTTGAGGCATAAAATCAAAATCTAATGAGAGGCCTAAAATTTTAAAAGTTATATTTATATTTATATTTATTTATTTATTTAAATTTTTAGACGTAAATTATTACTGAATATCTTTTTATATAAATAATTTTTTTAAATACATTTTTGAATTATTATTTTTATGTAAGACCTTATCAATTCAATATTGAAAAACATCATTGTATCGAGACAATTATTATATAAATTGATAACATAATTTTACAAGTAATAAGTTGATAATTTAAATAAAGACAAGAGTTAGAATAATAAAATCTGATTCAAAAGGTTGATAAGTGATATACCCTATTTAATATGAAAAGTTACGAAGAAATAAACAACAGAATTTCTAATTCACTTTGTTCGATACTTTTGACTATTCATTCATATATTTTAACAAAGTATTATTTTAATTATCAAAAATTTTTTAAAAAAATAAAATTTATAGATTATATTTCATCAGGGTAGAAATAAGATTAATATGTCTACTATTTCAGATTGACTAGTATAATTACATTATTTATGTTGTTGTTATTATTTTATTTATTTCTTTATTAACTTTTGGCTTTTCCTACAATTTTTGTATTTGTATCAATCAAACATCTATCAATTTCAAAGAAACAAAACAAATAATGAAATCCACAATGGATTTCTTGTCTTTATTTTCTCACTTTTTAAAAAAATATACTTAAGACACAAGAAGATGTGATTGAAAATGGCTTTTTTCTTAAGAAAATCCGACACCAATAAATAGTTTGGATGTTAATGTCCATGCTATTGGTCCAACTGGATTTTGCTTCCTAAAATTAATTTATCAAAAAATTATGACTTCCCTTCCTTATTCGAAGTTCGATATTTAATTAAAGTCTGATTAAATTTAACTTATAAAGAGTAAATTTTAGGGAAAGGTTAGTCAATTAATAATACTACATGCCAAGAGTAATAAGTTTATCTAACAAAGTTTGAACTCTCATTAATTTGCCTTCATTTGATGATGATTACAAAGTTTAGCTCTTTATCTTTATATTTATTTTTGGAAAAAGTATTTCCAATTTATAGTATAAAACTAGCTTATATGTGTAAAAATGTGTAATTGTACCACCTAAATATGTTATTTTAATTAATATATATGTCCAAAAACTTACGAGGAAATGGGTAAACAACTTTTACTTAAATTTGTAGAGAAAGTTTAGGCTTTATATATATAATTATTATTGATAAGATTCAATGTTTCAGAAAGTTTTTTTGTCTTTATATCACAAGACAATATACTTTTCCTCCTTAGATACTAAGCTTGTTTAGTAAGTTTAATAAATTTCATTTCCAGAAATGAAAAAAAAAGGACATCTGTTTATTAATAATCAGGATCATTTTCTTTCTAAAACGGAAAAGTGTTAAAAATACTCTTAAGCTATTTGAAATAGCTCATGTATACCCTAAAATTATATTTTGACTCAAAATTATCCTTTTTGTCAAACTATTGGATCAAAAGTACAATTCTAATTAATGGAAATTGTTAAATGCCATGTGGATGCTACATAAATTAAAAGGAAAAAGGTCAAAAGTACCCTTTAACACCCCAATAGATTTCCACTGCCACATAAATTAAAAGGAAAAGGGTCAAAAGTACCCTTTAACTATTCGAAATAGCTCATATTTACCCTTAAACTATATTTCAGCTCAAAACTACCCTTCCCGTCAAATTAGTGGGTCAAAAGTGACCTTCTATTGACTAAATCCCTAAATCTTAATTTCATTTCTGGAATAATGAAATGAGGGGGGAAGTAATTAGGATTTTGAGATTTAGTCTATGTGGCAGTGGAACCTTATTGGCCTGCAATGTGACATCCACATGACATTTAATATCTTCTGTTAATAAGAAAGGTACTTTTGATTCAATAGTTTAATGGGAAGGGTAGTTTTGAGCCGAAATACAATTTAAAGATAAAAATAAGCTATTTCGGATAGTTTAAGGGTATTTTTGACCCTTTCTATTTAGTATACGTGACAGTGGAATCCTATTGGCATGCAACGTGGCATCCATATGACATTCACGTGGTATTTAACAACTTTCATTAATAAGAAGGGTATTTTTGACCCAATAGTATGACGGGAAGGATAGTTTTGAGCCGAAATAAAGTTTAAGGGTATATATAAGCTATTTTAAATAGTTTAAAGATATTTTGAGTCTTTTTCATTTCTAAAATTATCTTAATTAATACTATTTACTTATAGAGTAAATACTTTACAAATTACCAGAAATAAAATTAACCTCAACTGTATAGTTTCAATTATAGAACTCTTATCTTTATAGATTTTTTTCTTCAAATAAAACTATATTTCTATTTTATTGAATGTTTAGAATGAGATATAATTTATTAACATGGTCATAATGCAGTCGATAGAATCCTCATCTAAATAAGAGGTCCAATGTTTGAATTTGAGGTCCAATGTGAACTCAGATTAATTATAACCCTTAACATTAGCGAGTTAATAAAATTATATATAATTTATTTTTTTAATATTTAATTCACAGTAAGATACATATAGTATATCATTATTTTTTTAAAAAAAAATTAATATAATATTTTTCTCTATTTTCCACCAAATATTTGAGCTTATCTTAAAATTAAATTTAAAAAAGGAATAGTTGGTTAGGGAAATGAAGTCACTCTCAACACCAACTTAGCTGTACTTGAAAATGATTCTCTCATTTAAATTACAACAAAAGGATTGGTTACAGCTGTATCCAATTTAATTTCTTTCAACCATTTTCTCCACTTATTAAAATAAAATTAAAATTAAAAATTGCTAAAACACCAACCCACAAAAAGGTCCCACAAGTCTCTATTTTTTTTATTTTTTTTTTAAAAAACACTTATTTATATAACTTTTTTTTTTACATTATCAATACATAAAACACAAATTAAAAAAAAATTAATTTCTCTACTATAAATCTTCAAGATATCGCGATTGATATATGTCGTAAAGAAATGAATTAACATATCAAACATTCAAATTTGGATAGCAATTGGTCTTATGTATAAGTTTAAAAGTTCGATCAAATAATAACATTACTTATTTCAAAAGAAGTATTATAAGATACACAAATAAAAAATATTTATGCATAATTATCGTAGTTTTTTACTCTTATAATATAGCATCAAATTAATGCTCTCTTGAATTTATAATAGTTATTCGTTGATATAACTATTTTTAATAATATGAACAAACGGACGGATCGAGTTATTAATAGCCCTTTTATTACTATTTTCCGCCTATTTCGTTCTGAATAATGAAACCCCAATTTCTCCTTTGTTTTCACTCTCTTTCTCTTTCCTCAAGTCGTTGTTGTGTTATTAATAAATAAAAATAAATATACAGAGAGATATGTGTTTCGACACTTTCAAAATATATACATATAAATAAATAATTTTACTATACAATATAGTTTAAAGATCGGTTCTTTTTGTGATCTGTGCACAGTCTACGTAATGCCAGTTCTTGGGTTTTGGTGGGTTTGCTTCAATCATTGCTATATATCCATCTCACTCACTTTTTATACTACTAATTGGGATCTAGTAAAGAGAGATAAAAAGGGTGAGACCCATTTTGGAATTTTGGGGGTTTTTTTTTGGGGGGTTTCAAAGTGAAAAGAGAAGTTCTTTATATTTTTTTTGAATGACAAAGTTATGAGGATTTTCTCAGGCTTTTGGAAGGATTTGAGTGTTTGCAGCTCTAAAAGTAGCTTTGGTGTTGCTAAAAAGGAGGAGAAATTGTAAAAAAAGGTGGGGTTTTTTTTTTTGGTTTGTTTTGTTATCTTATTACAGTATTTATTATAATCTTTAATTTCATGTTTATTTTTGGTGTGTTATATGTGTTTTGTGCTAATTTTGAGTAAATGTTAAAGATGGTTGACCTTTGTTCACTTGTACAGGTTTCTTGTTTGGACAAGTCAAGTACAATTAATAGGCAAAAATTGTATCTTTGGAGGATTTGAAACTTGAAAGACCCAAAAAAGAATTAGTGGACTGAAAGTTTTTTTTTTTTTGCTTTTAGCTTGTTTGTCAGCAAAATGCTAACTGAAGTGATTATTTTTTTTGTGTCAGAACCTATTGTTATTGGTAAACTTTTGAGTGCTATATAGAAGTGACTATGATTCATGAAAACAGTGAATATCCTTTTTATACAACAACATACCTAGTGAAATTTGGAGGGAGGTGTTCCAGAGAGGATAGAGTGTATACTGAGCTTACTCCTACCTCGGGAAGTAAAGGATGTTTTTGAAACACCCTCGGCTCAAGTGAAGCAAATCAAATAGTGAGTAAACATGGCAACTTATAGAAAAGCAGTGAATATCCTTTTCATGAAGTATCTAAATAAGCTAGATATGATTGCCTGTCTAAAAAGTTGGAAAGGAGTTTTTACGCAGAGGTGAATTACAATACATGCTTTCTAGCAGCTTTTAGTGAACTTTTCCTTATCAAGAAATGTTTTGTGAGCCTTGTTGAGCTATTTACCTGGAAATGTGTTTCTTTTTATGCTTAACCTTGATAACAGCACATGAAACAACATTTTTTAATCCGCTAAAGGGTTGACCATTATAGAAGAAGACGGCTCAAAGATTGCACTGAATAATACAATTAGCGCCGATTACAATATTCATGCTCTTACTTTTAAATATTAAAGTGAAAAAGCGTCAAGAAGTGCAATTTTGAAAGGGATGTAACATTTGATCTTAGGATAGTACTAATGTGTAGTAGTTGTTGCGTTTCTTGTTGTTTTTCCTCTTTCTTTGAGGTTTTTCTCCGTGAAGTATATTGGAAGGGGGAAAGTGGGTTGGGAGGGGGGGGGGTGGGGGGACCGAATGAACAGGTTATGTTGCTACCTATGAAGTTTAGAACTTCAAGGTATGTGACCATTCTTCTTGTAAAATTTGTACCTTTTGCTGCTTCTGGGGTGGTTGCAGTTTGCTTAACATGTCATGTTTTCTCAACCATCCAAACATGCCAGTATTTTTTCAGGTTTATTTACTTGGACCTTGAGGTAAGTTATTTATCAGATGCACTTACCAAGGACATTAGCTTGCACTTGATAGTCTGTTTTTTGTCTTTTCAATGTCTAATAACAAGGGAGCCAAATTTCCCTTTTGAGATATAAGTATATTATGTTTTTGATAAAATAGATATAGTATATTATATTTTGAGAGCCATGTTAAGAAAATATACAGAGGTTCAATTTTATTTTACTGGAGGATGTGAATGATGCAAACATACCAATCAAAATGAAGTGCTTTTACTTGCTGTGATCTCTCTGCAACATATGGCTGATATTTCTACCTGTGCAACATTTCCTCTTTATGGTGACTATATATTAGATTTTTCCACACATATTCTCCCCTCTCGTTCCAAACATTATTTCGTATTTCGTATTATGTATTAGATTATTCCACATACATTTCAGAAATCATATAGTCATCATATGAGTATTATGTAATAGACTATTACAACCTCAAGTAGAAAAAACTTGGGGTTTTACAGCTTATTGAAATGCGTTAAATTAAATGAGATGACATATTTTATGGGGTTAACTTAGTTACCTAATAGATGAATGAAAACACACACCCAACTTTTCCCAAATTTGCACTGGAAGTGTAATTGAAATACTTTATTAGGAGTTGGTTCAATTGTAACAGAAGCTAGCCATAGAAGAAAACTGGGTATATAAGTAGAGAAGGGTAGAACCCATTCTCCACTGAATTTCAAACCATTGGCCACTAGCCCTAGGGGATTTTTCAGTTATAAAGTAGAAGTACATTAAATTGAATGTTTCTGATTACTTTTGAGTGAATAATAGGGAAATCTACTTTCTGCAATTGAATGTGGAATTTGAGATAGGGCTCCTGTTTGACCTTTATTTACTACTTCTAATGTCCTCATTCTGACCTTCACTTGTTGACTGACAGGATTTAATAGATTGTGAGATCAAAGTGTACAACAAATGGCGATGTGTTGACCAGAATGGATCCTCAGGCTTTTATCAGGCTGTCAATAGGGTCGTTGGGGTTGAGACTCTCTGGGACAACTTTAAATGGTACAAAATCAGGGATAAGTGCACTCTCTTCTCCCTGTTTATGCGAGATCCGTCTTCGAGGTTTCCCTGTACAGACATCATCTGTTCCCTTTATTTCCTCACCTGAAGCTACCGTGGATATTCACAATGTTGCATCCAGCTTTTATCTCGAAGAATCTGATTTAAAAGCCTTACTTGAACCTGGGTGTTTTTATGCGCCTCACGCATGTCTAGAGATAGTTGTATTCACAGGACACAAAGGTGGCCACTGTGGAGTTGGTATTAAGAGACAGCAAGTTGGGACTTTTAAGTTAGAAGTAGGTCCTGAGTGGGGTGACGGAAAGCCAGTCACTCTGTTTAATGGCTGGATAGGAATTGGCAAGAACAAACAGGATACTGGAAAACCTGGAGCGGAGCTTCATTTGAGAGTAAAGCTGGACCCTGATCCAAGATATGTTTTCCAGTTTGAAGATAAAACGAAACTAAGCCCCCAGATAGTACAGCTTCAGGGAAACATCAAGCAACCTATTTTCAGTTGCAAGTTTAGTCAGGACAGGTACTATATGGTTCTTTTTTTTTTTAATTCAAATATGCTTCAGTTCAGGTTTCTAACTTTAAGTTGGTTCATTTCTATTTCTTACTCTTCAATCTGTCTGTTTGTAGTTTTTCACCAGAGACTATATAAAGTGCATTTACAAGGCTTATCTTGTCTAACCATGTTTTCCTTCCACAACTGATTTTAGAATTCGGGTCATTTCTGAAATTGTTGTGTGTTATGCTGAACTTACAGGGTATCTCCGGTAGATCCATTAAATAATTTTTGGTCAAATTCAGTTGATGGTTCCGAACTTGACATAGAGAAAAGAGAGAGGAAAGGATGGAAAGTGAAGATACACGATCTCTCTGGCTCGGCTGTTGCAGCAGCGTTCATAACAACTCCGTTTGTGCCATCAACAGGTTGTGATTGGGTTGCCAAATCCAACCCAGGAGCTTGGTTGATTGTTCATCCTGATGTTTGCAGGCCCGGATGTTGGCAGCCATGGGGAAAGCTTGAAGCATGGCGTGAACGTGGGATCAGAGATACCATTTGCTGTCGCTTCCATCTTCTATCTGAGGGGCAAGAAAATGGTGGCGATCTCCTCATGTCTGAGATCTTGATCAGTGCAGAAAAGGGTGGTGAGTTCTACATAGACACGGACAAACAGGTTCGAGCAGCAACGAGTCCATTGCCTAGTCCAAGAAGCAGTGGAGACTTTGCAGCACTAAGTCCTGTTGCAGGCGGTTTTGTCATGAGCTGTCGAGTACAAGGGGAAGGGAAATGCAGCAAGCCCCTCGTGCAACTTGCCATGCGACATGTGACCTGTGTGGAAGACGCAGCCATTTTCATGGCACTTGCTGCTGCAGTTGATCTTAGCATAGAGGCATGCAGGCCTTTCCGCAGAAGGCTACGGAGAAGTAGTCGCCATTCCTGGTGATGTATGCACATAATGATAGGGCGATACCGATTGATCTCCTTCTCGAATGAAGTAAGCCAGGCCATTGTTGTATTTCTCCTGATTGTTGTAACTTGTAACAACTTGACGTCATTGTATAGAACCAACTTAATATATATAGATATTTATGAACTATCTTCTCAAAAGTTGGTTCATTTTGGTTATTACTCGCGCAACGGTTCAACGGACAAGATCCTCAGGACCATCATGGTTCTGTTATGTCCTCGCCATCTAGATCAAATCTGAACAACATTATCTCAATGCTAAGTATCAGGAAAGACAGATCTAAGTTCATGTTTCACTGCTACACACAAGGAACATTTCTACGCACATATATAGATCTTGGATGTTAACTTGTAGCATACGTTTTTTACCTTGGTCTTGAGTCGTTAACTTAAACTATACAATACCTATCAAGAAGAATGGATGGGGCACAAATTTTTAGGAACTCAACCAAATGAATAGACCAGCAAAAGTAAACAAAACAATCCAATCGACTCAGGTAACATACTTCTCCCCAGAAAAAAGGGCCACTATGCTGTAAGCAAAACAATCCAAGAGCAACAACCAGAAATTGCCAAAATCTTGAATATAAAAGTCACATGTCATTACAATAGATAATGGTACAATTACTTATACAAAACGGCCTGAAGCTCGACTAGTTACTCCCTAGCTTACTATGAGAACAATGCTGCAAATTTACCACCTTCCTTGAGCTTCTTCCTATATAGATAAATATATACCTACAACAACATTCTGGCTAACACAGATAAATCTGGTTATCCAAAAATTTATAACCATCCTATAGCACTACTACTTGGTAGGTAATGCGACTAATCTTGTTGATGCTTATTTAATGTTTTCTCTCCCATTTACTTTCCCTTCTACCATCTCGTTCTCTTCGTTCCACAATTTGCCTAGGCTTACTCCCCCGGGGACCATGCCTTTGAGACGACCCAAAGTTCATGGACGGACCCTCAAGTGCTGATACCAGGTCTGCGTCCCCAATACTCCCTGTGTCCCCTGAGTCTTTACTACCATCAAAGTTTTCTTCATAGCTACTGCCACATTCATCTCTGTCGCGTGATTGTAGAATAGTTGGATGTTGGCCAGAGAACTGCCTAGCCCCTGATAGAACAACAGTAGGCATGGTTACCATTGATGAGCTCGTCGCAGTTTCAGGCTGTGTCATCCCTGTACTTGTTCTGGTCCCTTCATTACCTGCTCTTCCCATTTCCCTTTCACGGTATCTTTCTCGCGGCCTACTGCATTAGATTGAAAAACACATCAAGAGAGAATTCTTTGGTATTCAAAATTCTGTTGCACTAAACCACTCTATTTAACAATTGTCAAGAGCAAAAAAATAATCCAATATAAGTCGGTAATAGCACTCCCTGTTGACACTTAATACTGAGTGAGAAACAGACCAAGTTATTGCTGCCTGATGTTGAAACCATTTTGTTGACAAGAGAGAGAGAGAGAGAAGAATAGGACAAATTATTTACTCCCACTGCCACCATTTTTGGAGGCAGTGCTGTGAGATCTACATTAAACAGCCTTTGAATGTACTGTCGAAACCATGATATCAAATCTCACAACCAGAATCCCATGGACATAAGCAACAAACGCTAGAAAAGAATTACCCATCAAATTTAGTGCATTCATAGTACATAAAACAACACTATTTTTGCATAAGATTAGAGGGCAATTCTTCTCATCCTGGAACAAGAAAGGGACTCTTCAAATCTTACATGACATTACAATGAGGTGCTCAATCAATTTGTACCATCTATATGCATGACTAACATTGCATTCTTGAGTTATTCCCACTGGACAGTAGGAATTCTTTTCTTTGTAGAAGACAATTCAATAGCCATGAGAAAGAAAAGCTAGAGGAAAGAATTACTGACTCAACCATTGGAAAAATGCAGTATTTTCATGTCCATAAAAACAAAATTATTTGCCTGAAGAAAAAAGTAATTCCATGTTCATCTCGGACCAAGGTAAATCTTGTGGTGATCTTATATGACATCAAAGCAACAAGCCTGAACAATTTAGAAAGACTTTATGTGCATGGCAAGAGCTTCCACCTGTTTATGCCTTGGCATTCACCCTTGCCATTATACAACATAACCCAGACATAAGAGAATTCTTATGTCAACAGGCAATAACTAAAGCAAATGTTGCAGTTTTGAAAAATGAAAAGGGGAGGTGAGACCCCACCAGAGGAAGAGGTTTTGGAAGGAGTCTGAGCCAAAGATTAACCTAAATAGTTTTCTCAACACAGAAGATTCAGATGCCACAAAACATTGCTATAGTTTACCATGAAACAAAAGTATTAGGCAACAAAACTTACCCACTATTTGTGGATGAAAAATCTCGTCTCGATCGAACTCCAGATTCAACTTGCTCAAGTTCTCGTTGCAGTTCTCTCTGCAAAAAGATCTCAGGTGAAATCGGCATGCAAGACTTCCACTCCATCATATGAATTAAATCTAATCTAGCATAATCATTTACGATGAGGATACAAGCAGGGCAGAGCTACAGCTAAGAAAAGGTGGTCAGCCGAACACCCTTCGTCAGAAAATTCGATTGTGTATACAAGTAAAATATCTCTATTAACTAGATATCTTAATCAATGAACATGCTTAAACACCAGTGTTTTGGGAGGCGAGAAGCGGAAAAAAGCGACGAGGGATTGCTTCACAGAAGCGAGAGGCGTGAAGCGAAGCGCGCTTTTTTTTATATATAAAAAAACGACATTTAGTATAAAAATAAAAATAAAATAACTAAATAGAGGTAATATAGTCTTAAATTAAAAGAAAATAGATAATCAATAATACTCATAAGTCATAACATATAAAGCAAAAAATCAAAAACATAATTAAATCAGAAAGACTCAAACTCCTATTCTTCAACAAGATCCTCAAACTCTTCAAGTGCCATAACCAAGGGTTATAATTGGTCATCTTCTTCATCATCAGAAGTGTCAAAAAAAAAAAAAAGAGCTGCTAGCACACACTGATCACAAAATGAAAACAAAAAAAAAAGCAAAAGAATTGAAAAAAAACAGAGAAGGCAGTCAGTAATTGTGAACAGAAACAGAGCAGATCGCAGCAGATATGAAGAGAAGAAGAGAAGAAGAAGAAAAAACTACAGCAGTCGCATCGTGAAGAGAAAAGAAACTCACAGAGATGAAGCAAATACGAAGATTGTATATTTCAGGAGTCATAGAGATGAACTAATAAACATCGGTTAAAACTTACCTGCAATCGCGGTCGAGGTGTGAAGAGAGACACAGTCTCAGGCGCGGTCGTGAAGAGAGAGGAAGCGAAAGAAGAGTCGTGAAAGAAAAATTAAGTTATATTGTATATTCAGATTTTTTTTTATTAAAAAAAACTATTTTTTTAAAAAAAGAAAACTAATTGTCGCTTTTTTTAAAAAAGCGCGCTTTATTGCGCTTTTGCCTTAGAGTCGCTTCTCGCTTCTTTATCTGAAGCGAGCGCCTTTTTCAGATCGCATCGCCTCAGGAGAAAGAAGCGCACTGGTGTCGCCTCGCTTTGAAGCGCGCTTTTTTGCGCTTTTCACAACATTGTTGAACACAACAGAGGTTGGCAATCCAGTGGTAAGGATGCTCATTTGCCTCTTTGAGGTCCTAGGTTCGATTCTGTCCCGCCACGTTTTAACACAATATTTTATCTTTCTATTTCTAGCCTTAAATTTTATTACAATTTATTCAATGAATTTATTAACCTAATAATTAAGATTTTATTGTTTCTATATATTTTTGATCCGTATTAAGTGAATTGTTAAATTTTGTTACAGTTTATTAAATGAATTTATTAACTGAATAATTGAGATTTTATTGTTTCTATATATTTTCGATCCATATTAAATGAATTGTTAAAGAGTATAACATAGTCTTCTTTATATTTTTCAATCCGTATTAAGTGAACTATTACACTTTATAATTTTAAGTTTTCATATGTTTTGGTTAAATGATATGTAATTTAATTTTAGATTTTGGTGCACCCACCCATCAGTATAAAAAAGTTTGGTGCACCCACTCAGCTAAAAAAAAATTCTCTCTTAGTTTGAACACCCTTGACGAAATTTTTGGCTCCGCCACTGGATACCAGTTCTTTATACCGAATGGTGTCTCGCACTAACTTTTAAGATTACAAGGAATGGTTAATCAGGTATAAAGGTAAGGGTGAAAGGTCCACACACTCTGCTGATGGAAATGTGTATGGTTGTAGGCTGTTAAGGCTGATTAAGACAAACAATTTAAGGAGAGAGCAACCAGGAACTGAGGCAATATTTAAATAGGAAGGAAGAGACAAAGGAAAAAGCAAGAAGAAAAAACTCGGAAAGAAACTTAAATAAAGTAAAAAAGATAATTTGTATTACGAGTCTGAATTCCCTGAACAAAAAAGAAGCTTTTTATTTTTATGAAGCTGACATGATGTTTACTGCTGATTTACAAATTAAAAAATGTGTATCACAAGATATCCACTATATTCAGAAAAGTCACTTGGCATAAAGGGAAATATCATTGATGCAAACAAAACTTAAGCATCCACTAGGCATCATTTTAATCGGTCTAGTTTGAAACACTTCGCCCTAGCTGTCATAACCAAGGGATGACAAGTGAGCTATGATCATTCTTGCATACCTGCGCTTGCTTTTCTTTCTCTAGATCAAGGCTGTGTCGCAACTCCCTGGTTTTTGTACGTTCAAGCTCCAGTATACGTTGTCTCTCAATCTCCTTTTCTACTTCAGCCATCCTCTCTCTAAAATAGTAGCATCATGTAGACATTTTACAATTAACATGTAATCATCAAATAATGTAAGCACGAGATTTGAGGGACACAAGAAAAAACCTATCTAGCTCTTGTAGAAGTTCAGCTTCTCGAAGGGCTGCCTCTTCCAAAAACTTTTGCCGGGCATGCCTATCGAGTAGTTTCCTTTGCCTGCGTGCTACAACCTCCTCTTTGAGTTTGGCCTTTTCTCTGGTAAGAAGAGATACACAGAAGAGCTTAAATAGATAAGTCTAAGGTCAATCTCCTCTAATTCTTTTCTGCCTTGAGAAGATGAATGTAGAACTAATAAGAGTTGTCAGATAGAATCGTGTGTTTCATTTTCT